GCCTGTGAAGTCTCCTTCCTGAAAAAGAAAGATGGATAAAACATTACCACAAAACTACATGTAGTTTTATATTTTTAGTCATTTAGCTTCAAATTCATGTGTTATCTCTAGGAATAAACGATTTAGCCCTAATGAATCCCTAACTGGATTGATAACATTGTTATACAACAAATATTCAACAAGCAACTGTTTCTGTGAAAACTAAGGCCAGGCTTTAAACACAAAACTAATTTTTTCAATGCGTAACATGGGATACCAGCTCCTTCGCTATAGTGAGCAGTGAGAAATGCTGACAGCATCACAAAACTGAATTAGGTTATAGGTTAGGTTAATAAAAGTGACAGAGTCTGAAAGCTGAGAATTTGTTTCATATCAAAACTAACAAAGCACAATGCTTATTGCGATTTATCGGAAGAGAGGCAAGCTACAAAAGTTTTTTTTCTTCATCAACTGAATAGAGCGAATCGACATCGATTCTTCAAAATGAGAATCGTTTAAATGGAAAAATTTATATTTTTAATCCAGACCTTTCGTTCATTGGTAATTCTTGATCCAGCTGACAAAACAATTGGTTTACAAAACAATTCACAGTGAAATGAACTATGCTGGTCAGTCAGAAATGACCCTGGACAGTGATACTAATAAACGTCAGTATCTTATTTCTAAAACCAAGACTTAGAGTAGGTGCTATTCTCAGTCAGGAATCTAAACAAGAAATAGGCATTATATCTTTTTTATTTATTCACAACATGTCAATAAGCTATTTTTTTCCAGAATAATTGATTTCGCCAACTGCAAATAACAGAGCATCATCTTCAAATAAGTGGTAACAAGTTCATTCATTACATCATTAAACTTGCATTACACAAAATAGAATCTATCAATCCATCGATCGTCAATCTAACCTAATTATACATTTAGAATACACATCAGGGGAATATGTCTACAAAGAGAAACATCAATGCATGTAAGCCTCCCTTGACATAAACCATTTAATGATACTTATACTCATGATGAGTCATAAGGATTCAGACTGAAGAAATCAAGTTCAGTTCTGCAACTGTCCTCTCATGTAAAGATGATGCTGCATAACCGACTGATTGCTTGCAGATACCTCAGAATTTCAAAGCACAGGATCGGATTGCATCAGTCTACAGTGTGTGATATTAAAAACTCAACATGAGTTCTATATTGACTCAACTTTGAATCAGACTGCATTATGGGAATTTCTGAAAAAGTCCCCATACCATAATTATGGGAAAACCTAGTAAGGCTGGTAAACTAAATGTTGATATTAAAGGGACTGAAACATTGACTATGTTTACATGTGCACCATAATGTGATTATTTAATCAAAGTAAGGTCTTGATGTTTACATGAGACGAGAAGAGCCCTTCACTCACGTTAATATGCAGTTTTTTTCAATATTCTGATTATTTGCTAATCAGAATGGTAATTTAGATATAGGCATACAGTATGCATATTATCGGGCATTGTTTAAATTTAAAAATACAGTGCTGGATATTACGCCTCTGTCATCTGCTCTCGGCGTCTGAGGTACAGTAACAGAAACCTGGTATTAAATTATGTTGTTTTAGTCAAGCTCTTTAAAAAGCCGAAGTATCCTAAAATAGATAGTTTTGCCCAAGCTCCGTTTTTAAAGACAAATGTTTATTGTAAAATTAATATTTGTAGTGATTTTGGGGGGATTCTCAATTAAAACAACAATTACAATAGGTAATATAACCAAGACAACATCTGTGGTATTACTTTATTTGAAAGAAAAAAAGTTATCATTGATCTTACATATCAAGCTTGAAAGATTAGGATAGGTATTGGCTGATCTGCATGCTAATAAATCAGCAGTATCCCTAAAAGAAATACAGCGATCATAACCTAAGAACAACTAAAGTCAAATTAGAGATCTCTCAATCATCAACCATGGTACATTCATTGTAATATAAACTGCAGAGCTATGATCATAAAACTAGTTTAAATATTACCTTACTAATATATATTATTATTAAGGGATACAGAATGACAACTAACATTTATGCATTTTTGTAGTAGTCTGCTATACTGTCATAACATTTGAAATACATTATAACAAGCTATCAGAATATTATCTTTTGGTATATTAATTACAATACCTGCACCAATTAAACTATTTTGTTCAGTTTGGGCCTCTGAACACAAGTGTTATTTTTTCTCCTTAAATGAACGATCCATATTCTATTCTATCTCTAGATCATACTACATGTGCCATAAAAAATGATGACGTTTTAAATATTTTGTCTTAAGTTTCAACAAACGGTTAAATTGATAAAAATCTTTTTTCTTTTTTTTTTTTTTTGATGTGCCTGGCTTTGCAGGATTAATCACAAACTTGGCATTTGGCAAAATAAAAATTGGATATAGAAAATTCAAAACTTCACTAATTTTACTGAGGATATTTTAAAGAATGAAAGTGAACTTGCACTGCACTTCCAACACGTAGTGTCTGATTAACACAACTGCTGATATGAAGCAATGGTGACAGCTTACATTAAGTTCCATTTAGTTAACAAAAGTTCATGTATTAAATAACAATAAGCAATATATTTGTTTTGGTATTTATTAATCTTTGTCCATGCTAGTTCACAGTGCATTAACTATTGTTAACAAATACAATCTTTGATTTTAATAGTGTATAAATAATAAAATTAACTAAGATTAACAAATGCTGAAGATATTGTTAATTCATAGTTCATGTTAACCAATTAACCTTATTGTAAAGAGTTAACGAAACAACTAACTTGTTTGTAAACAATGCTAACTTACGTTCTTGTACAAATGGATCTGAGATCCTTTTTTTTTTTTTTACAAACATGCACTATATTTACTAATCCAATGGCGATTCCAGACAGAATCTATAATTAGTTACTGAAACTTATTCCTGATGCACACCTACTTAAACATTAAAAATTAGACGAACAGGCCCGTCAGCAACACTAACATTAACTGACTGTACACAAACTCCCTCATAACTAATTAACACCACACATTCGCTGTCCCACACACAATCCCCGTAGCCACGGCAACACCGTCAACCACCCGAAATGTGAACGCCACAGCCCGGCAAAAGCCCACCATATGACGGGCGTCCCTTTAATACTTTTCATCTCTGTAATCTGTAAAGCTCACGACCGTGCAACTGCAATCAGGTGGATGATTCTCTGCAGGAACTGACATCAGCCACTCAGCGACATGCTTATGATGCACTTGCTGTGAATTATTAGCACGGTATTACTAGCTAAATCGCTCACCTCATCGCTCCCGCTCGTGCAGAATCCCGCCTCGCGCTGGAGCCTGTGTTTCTCCGCCAGCCCGAGCAAACACGACAGTGACGGATCCTCTCTCAGCGTAGCTCCAACGTCGATGGGCCTCGGCCCTTTTCTGTCTTCATCCCTCACCCGACCGATATGAGAGCGTTTCTCCGTCCTCAACAGGCTCCGAGAAGTCCATGGTCGAGCTGGGAAACGGCAGCGAACGGTGGCGGAGGTGTTTATGGTTGCTACTACAGCCGAGGCTGGTAATCCGCCTCCTGCTGCCGCCATTATTACATACCACAACAACAACTACGGCGCTTGAGCTCTCGAGAGGAACAAGATGGAAAGGCGCGAGATAGCAGAGGAAACGAACAGCATTGTGGGAGATGAAGTTTTTCTCTCTTTTGCCGTTTGACTCTGTAAACATTTTATAAATAATATATATTCAACAGTTTAATCATGTAAAACAGTTTATTGAACCTTCATAAATATAGATATTAGACAAAAATATTATAAAAGTCGATGCCTAATTAAAAATTTGCATGTTTTATGTTATATATTTGTTGATGCATCAGACTATCGTGGCACATACATGAAGCTCAAATTCAATACATAATTTGGTGCAGTTCCTGTTATTTATGATTATAAATATTTGTGAATGTAAACAATTTAAAGCCTAAGGAAATATGTTGTCATTGCTCTAGCAGAACTTTTTGGGTAAGGGAAAGTAAAATATTAACAATATTTAATGAAAATACACACAAATAGAGCTCAACACCAATAAAAAATGAAGGCAACTCTCCCCCTCGCCTGCTCCCGTTATAGGTCGCCACAGAATAATCAGGTCAACAAAAACAGGTCGTTTATTAGAGGTCGACTCGCCACAGCGTAAACATCAGTTGGGTGGGGTTAGGGATCAGGAGGTGGAGATGGGTAGGTTTAAGCATATGTATGGTGGGAGGTTTAGGTATATTTTCTAGTAGCACCTCAATGCAGTAAAAAAAATCAGTGTGTAAGATCAAGCGGGCTGATTCAAGAACAAACGGCGCCGCTGATTGGCTGATTCTTGGTATAATTTTAGAAGTCTTCAGTTTTTTTTGTTCATAATATCTATTTGTGGTATTTGACTAGAAAATCACATTGAAAATCAAGGGGAAAATCCAAAAACCTCAGTGAGCTCCACTCCACGAAACGCAAGGAAATTTTATTTATTTTTAAATTGATGGGTTTTTTTTTCAGTTTATGTATATTTTTTCTGATTATGATCTGTATTGAGACTCAAAAATTGTCCATTAAATGAGACTTTTTAGAAATTCTATTAATTTCAAGAATTTCAACGAAAAACCTCCATGACAATCTTAATAAAAACATATTTTTTCATTCTAATTAAAAACAAACTGTAGTAATTCTGAACTGGAAAATCATACTAAATGTATTGTTTAAAAAAAGGTGTGAAAACAATGTAGAGAATAATATAAAGAATAAAGAATATATAAAAGAGTATAAAGAATAAAAAAATCTATATAAAGAATAATTACATTATCATCACGATGGGAACATACTGAAAAAACTGATCTTTATGTTCCTTTCCCAATTTATTTTTTCTGAAAACCAAGAAGACTTCAGTTACTTTCATCCACCTAATTCTATCTCTATTCATGACAATCCAAAATACAAACAAAAAAAAACACTGTTTTAAGTTTTAGGCTCTTTACTTCCACAAATAAGTGTTTATACAGTGCGAGATTTTATTTTCTATTTTCAAGAAAACAGCCTTAACATCATAATAGGATTTAACATAGTTCCATCAACCATAACCATTTACTCACTACATGTTATTGTACATGCGTGATGTTATCTGCTCAAACAGTTTCCAATCTATAATATGTCATAAGTCATCCAAAATCACGAGTATGCTGTTGAGTCCATCACCATAATAGGATAGTCTGCTAAAACTATTTCTAGATTTTCATTCAATCCCACTGATATATGTAATAGAAACAAAACATGGATGCCAGCAGTTCACACATCAGTGAGCGAGAGAAAAGGTTTTGCTTAAATAAGTGATAGGATGAGTGAGAACGGACACAGATATGGAGACTTCAAGCGCGTGCCTGCTGTTTCTGTTTGAAGTCTGCGATTCTGTTCTCCATTAAAGGGCGGAAGTGACGGATCAGACCCTAAGAACAACAAAATATAGATTAAGATATATTTTTAAATAATTTATCTATTTACATAAAAAAAGAATACAGCCTTTACCTGGACTGGCCATGCGGCTCCATCTCCCAGGGCACAGATGGTGTGGCCCTCAATCTGCTTGCTGATCTCCCAGATCATGTCAATCTCTGCTGACTTTGCATCGCCTTTCACAAAGCGCCACATCATCTTATTCATCCAGTCCACTCCTGAGAGGCACAGAAAAGAAAGACTAGTAAATATTCACTGTAATAAAACATATTGTTTTCTTACAGTGAATAATAAAAAATGAAAAATGTGTATTCACATAAATGATCATACCCTCTCTGCAAGGAGTGCACTGCCCACAGCTCTCATGCTTGTAGAATTCAATCAAGCGGGCAATAGCTCGAATAACATCAGTCTGTGAAGAGGCAAAACTTTTTTAATTATAAAAAGTAGAGATGTACCAATACTAAATTCCACCACCAATATGGAAATGACATCCATATGATTTAAATTTTCTTACACTGCTGAATGCTTAAAGAGTAACTAAACACTTAACCAACTTTTTTTAGTTACTGATCTGTAAGAATGGATCTTTATTAATACCAGTCATTGATTCGAGTAACTTTTTTGACATTTGTTTATATAGTGTTCTATTTCTACAATACGTGGTGTAAAAGCGTCTTAGTGCTGCCCTCTTCAGGTTGAACGGTGGCTACTGTAGGGAGTCAGGAATTGGAATTGTGAGTATTGAAAAAGATCAGGATAGAGTGTTTTAGCATCTATTTCGTCCCCTCTATCTCCGCCAGTGTTGGGAGTAACGCATTACAAAAGTAATACATTACAGTAACATATTACTTTTTGCTGTAACGCAGTAGTGTAAGGCATTACTAATCAATTTTCAGTAATATTTTACTCGTTACATGTTCAGTGAGGCTTGTATTACAGTGTGTTGTCTGCTTTTACTTCTTAAAGGCAACAGACTATGTGAAAGTTTTAAAGCAGTCTTTTAGTGCCAGTTCAGAGCGGTCGTGTCTATAACATTGTTTTTTCCTCATAAATGCGAACACGAACACGAAAACTAAAATAAAATGAATATTTTAAGTTCTATGGAGACTGGAGAGCCAACCCTTCCTCATTCGATTTACGCAGTGTAATTAACAGAATTACAAAAAATCGATTTTGCCTCCTATTTTTTTGTCACGCATGAAAGTGTGTCTTTTCCCTAATATTAAAAATAAAACATAGACTGATATTTGTCTAATGTCTGGAGTCCTTTAAGGAAGTAGCCTATATACGTTTCAATACATGTATTTTCTGAGAATTTTTATTTCAAGTTTTGACTGCAAATGTCATGTCCATAATGCTGGACTTCCCCAATTTTAAATAATTTATCCTCAACTAGTTTTGTGGTGTAGGTCTACGTATTTTATAATGTTAACTTCAAATAATACTAATAGCCTAATTTAAAGATAAGGCAGCATTGGATATGGACGGTAAGGAGAATAACGCTGGGAGTTGGAAGAGGTGTGTCGCGATTCTGTAGGTTCGTGGATGTGGCGAATCGCGATTTCGGTTTCATATTGCATATCGTTAGAGCCCAAAAGTTAAGTTCTACTTAGTTATTTTGGTGAAAGTAACTCAAAAGTAATACATGAGTAATGTAACGCATTACAATTCTGAGACAGTAATATTGTAAGGTAATGAATTACTTTTAAATAACAGTAACAAGTAATACCTAATGTATTACAGTTTGGAAGTAACTTGCACAACACTGATCTCCGCTGGGGTCTGCCCACTTTTTCAGCATTTTCAAATATTGCCAGTGGGTGGAGTCAGGCTCTGACCAGGGGTTTAGTTACCCTTTAAGCAACTGTATAGAATGACAGATCATTCAAAAATAAAGCATCTAGCCTATTGTGGCTATATTCCCATCGTAAAAATGCTAATGGGAATTTGCAGTGAAGAAAAGAGGAGAAAATAAAGTTTAGAAGTTGTCCGTGTCCACAGAAACAAAACCATGCGTGTTATTTAACAAAAGGACTCACTGATTTATCCATGACGATAAGTGCCGCTGTGCCGAGACCGGTCTGAGCCTGCACGAGGGCATCAAAATCCATGAGAACGGTGTCACACACATTACGTGGGATTAGTGGAGTGGAAGAACCACCAGGAATAACGCACAGGAGATTATCCCAACCACCCCGGACGCCACCTGCAGGGATCGTATGAATTATGGATCAATAACCCTCAGGAGCAGACATGATTCGACAACAAAAATGTGTATGTAGAGATAGTGTGCGGTTTACCTGCATGCCTTTCAATGAGCTCTTTCAGGGGAATGGACATCTCTTCTTCCACCGTGCAGGGGTTGTTGACATGGCCCGAAATGTTAAAGAGCTTCGTGCCAGAGTTTCTCTCTCGGCCGAAACTCACAAACCACGTGCCGCCACGACGGCAGATGGTTGGTGCCACAGCTACGGTCTCGACATTGGCAACGGTTGTTGGACAGCCAAACACGCCTGGAACAAGAACATGTGACATTTATAACTGGTCATAGTGCTGGGCGGTATACCGGTTCATACCGAAAACCGGTCTATATTTTTATTACGATGTTCATTTTTAATATACCGCCATACTGATGTATTTAATCACACAACGTTCGGATAATTCTAACTTGTCTACAAACCACGTTTTGTCACGAAAAATCACGCAATAAAACTAACCAGAAATGACGTGAAACAGCAAGTGCGCCAATACCCAGCGAAGAAGAGAAGAACACAACACGCTAATATGGACGTCAGACAGAAACTAGTGCTGCACACTGTTTGCGCGATGATTTTCTCTGAGGAAAAAAAAAAATGTACAAAAAAAATAAGATTTAACCGGTGACCTCAACCCATGCCTTGCTATGATTGGCTGGAGCTCATGACATCACTGAGGTTGAATCGCGCGACGGCTCTGGATATCTAGCATGCTAGATATTTTTCTGGGCTTGGCGACGCATCTGTGAGCGTCTTTGTTGCGTTGTTGGCTCTTTCATACTAACAGATTGGCAAGCGTTCATCGCCCGCTAATCCCCCGCGATTTGCACGCGATAACACCCTGACCTGTCGAGCTCAACGATTTGCAAATCGGGCTAAAAATACTGTAGTGTGAAGTTGGAAGTTTACAGGGAAGGTGGATGCTGCAGAACTATGGCGCTATTTTCCTGTCAAATGCCAAGAGCGCACTATTGTAGCGCGAAAGGAAATTAATATAATGCGCGAGCGCGAATCTCTGCTCGCGCGTGCGCTCTCAGATACACGGTGCTCTTGTAAGAATAGGGCTGCGTCCAAAATCGCGCACTATGTGAGTAGGTACTACATTTATATAAGAACGTACTTCGTGACCATTAAAAAAGTAGATTCTATATAGTATGAATACGGCTAGTATGAATGAGTCCAGACGTACTACATGCAAATTTTAAAGAGCCCATTCCACTGACTGTACCAACTTCACGCTGTTTTTAGTTCTGCTTTCTGTTATCATCTGCGTTTTTATGTCGCCCGAGCCGACAATCAAGAGGAGGCGTCGGTCAGCTGCTCGCAGATCACGCCTTTTGTGGAGTTTCTCAAATAACATTTATTTACCTAATAAATTTTACCTCATAAAACACACACACACAACCCCTATCAACAATGATAGATGTTGATTTTTGGCAAGGAAAATCCATTTATTTGCTTGTGATATTACCATCGATAAATAAACATGAATGAATCAATAGAGATACTTATGTGTGTCTGTGTTTACCTCTACAGCCCATAGTTACCGTTACAGCCGCGTCTCAGGTTTCCGCCATTTTCAAATATAACAACAACAACTCCTCTCCCTTTGCCTCATGGGATAGTAAAGTGTCCATCGTATGCGCACTTCAGAATCTCACCGGAAGTAGTAGGTCATCCATCTGGGTACTTTTCGCCTACTGTTTTTCGCATACTATATAGTAGGGAAGTATTCGATTTCGGACGCAGCCTAGGTCTATTTTCTCCTGCACTGAAAACTTGTTCAGCGCAACCGCGAATCTCTCCTCTTCCCCAGTCAATCTTAGGTTATAAGAACGTTTTCATAACATTCCCATTAAGTTATGAAAACATTATTTCTGAGTGTTCTAGGAACATTCAAAATGTCCAGTTGTTTTAGACGTTGAATTAAAGTTCTTGCTTGGTTATAAGAATGTTATTAGAATGTTAAGAAATAACAATTTTAGGTTATACTGGGTGCTAGTCTATTCTACAATATTAACTAATGACAATAAAATGGACCATCTTAAGTCAATTTATTGCAGTAATTCTTCTCTCAACCAGTAGAAAATGCTTCGAACACATGATTACGCATGAAAAAAAAAAACATCATAAACCGGCTTAATTCTGAAAAAAAAAAAAAAAAAAAAAACGTGATATCAATTTTTGGTCAAACCGCCCAGCACTAACTGGTCATACAGCATGACATTTCTCTCAGGTCATGTATGTGTTTATATATATATATATATATATATATAAAATCTATAACATTTTTCGACTTACCCACATCAGCAGGGAAAGGGGGTTTCAGACGAGGTTTTCCCTGTTTTCCCTCAATGGACTCAATCAGAGCCGTCTCCTCTCCGCAGATGTACGCTCCCGCACCGCGCATCACAAACACGTCAAAGTCATAACCTGAGCCGCACGAGTTCCTGCCAATCAGCCCTGCAGCATAAGCCTCATTAATGGCCACCTGAGTGAAACCAAATACACAAGGTCATTACATCACTTCCCTCAACTACTATGTAGCGCATTTTATCACATTTACAACCCCTTTGCACGGGAGATTTGCCTTAAAATTTATTTTGATAACGCTTGACAACGCTAACAACAATAATAAGCAAAAAAAACATAGCACATAAAGATATTAAGTAATAATCTACATTTTTAGATACACCATTTTGTTTATCAACACTATTCTTAACTGAACTTTAAGTAGATTTAATATTACTGTTATATTTATAAACTAATATATGAAATCAAAATATAAAGCGTAATATTATTCATATACACTCCCTTTCAAAAGTTTGGGGCAGGTAAGATTTGTTTTATATTTTTTTCTGATCCTTTTCGTTTTAAAAGAAACCTTTTATGCTGCATTTATATGATCAAAATACAGTAAAAACAGAAACACTTACATTAAAAGATACACTAAAATATTATTTTACAACTACTTTATCTTAAATTATTGTTTTAATAAATCTATTTGAATATATTTTAAAAAGTAATTTAATCCTGTGATCAAAAGATGAATTTTCAGCATCATTACTCTAGTCTTCAGTGTCACATGATCTTTCAGAAACCATTCGAAAATGCTGATTTGCTGCTCAATAAATATTTCTTATGAATATATTGATTTTTTTTCAGGATTCTTTGATGAATAGAATGTTGATTTTTTTTAAACCGCACGTGTTTGAAATATAAATCTTTTTTAAAATTATTATTCTCTTTAATTTCACTTTTGACCAGTTTAATACATCCTTCCTGAATAAAAGTGTTTCTTTAAATTTATGAAAGGCTGACTATGATGCCTTAAAATGCGGCCTGCTTAAGGAGCTCATTTTTGTAAACTGAGCTTAGCAATAAACAGTTTTTTTTCCCCTTTGTCTCTTGAAAAAAAAAAAAGAGCGATATTACAAAGATATATCCACACTTATACAGATATTTGTTTTTTACCTGCAGGTTGGACGACTCATTGTAGAACTCTCCCCGGATGTAGATGTAAGCAGCACGTGCTCCCATGGCTCGGCCAGCGACCAGACAGCCCTCGATCAGCTTATGGGGATCATTACGCATGATCTCTCTGTCCTTACAGGTACCGGGCTCTCCTTCATCAGCATTCACCACCAGATATTTAGGCCTGAGTGGAAAAAGAGAATGACCTGATTTGATCCAAATAATAAAAGCTACAGTACTGTGATGCTACAGTAATGTGGATCCATCTGCAGCAACCTCTGATGCGATCTTAGTAGTTGAGACATAAACCCACCTGCCATCACTGGGCTTGTTCATGAAGCTCCACTTCATCCCAGTTGGGAAGCCGGCACCCCCTCGGCCTCGCAGCCCTGAGACCTTAATCTCATTCAGGATCCAGTCCACTCCTTTATCCAGAATCTCCTTGGTCTTATACCAGTCACCTCTCTTCAGGGCACCTTTCAGCCTGAGGAACATGGGGAGCACATGCACTGACAATATAATAATAATACTTTATATGTGCACTGTACTTTAAATGTATATACACACAATACCAGTCAAACGATTTTTAGAATGTTTTTTTAATTAAATAAAAAAAAAAAGTCAAATCAATGCCATTTTTTAATAAAAAATACAGTAAAAACTGTATTATTATTACATTAATTTAATGTATTTTTATACATTCCTGTGATGGCAAAACGAGAAACCTTATTATTAATTGAGCAACAATTGAGCACCAAATCAGCATATCAGAATGATTTCTGAAGGGTCATGGAATTTTATTTTAAATTGTAATAACATTTCGCAATATTACTTATATTATTATTTTTATATAAATGTATCTTTGTTGAGCAGAAGTGACTTAACTAAGTGAAACTAGACTAAAAAAAAACTTTACAAGTAACAAGACATAAGCCCCAACTTATAGTACTTAGTTTTCACATATATTGAGAGGATGTGGAATCCCTTTAAACTGTTTGTCTGTTTGAATGTGTACTGTTTTTTTAAGTTCTGAAATGATTGTTATAATTGGTTATATTGCAATAAAAACGTGCTAAAAAATGGTACTCTTGATACTAACAGCTGTCACAGCAAAACTAAAATAAGGGCTATAATGAATACTAAAAATGAAAAAAAAAAAACCATTATATATACATACATATATATATATATATATATATATATATATATATATATATACAGTATTCATAATACAATTTTTAAAAAGTTTTTACCTCCAGTCATGTCGTCCATACAGGTTAGTGAATATTCTGTCCTGGTCAGCTAGAGGTCCAAATTTGGTCTTCTTTGGTGTTTCCTAGGTGACACGCACTGATTTAGCCCATTTGCATTGATCATAAGTTATACACACAGTAGATTTGCTGGATGAAGATAGTCACCTGTTGAGCTGTGCTGTTGTACCGCACCAGTGTCATGGAGTTTGGGGTTGGTGGAGAGGTAGTGGTGGTGGCGGCGGCTACAGAAGTGCGAGATGCACCAGCAGCTGCAACCACAGCCGGGGCACGCGAAGCCCCAGTGGTCAGCACCCGGCTAAGAACGGGACAGCCGAGACAGGACAACATCCTTTTCTGAAAGAGATTAATGAAAAGCTAGTATTAAATAAAAATATAAATATTAGATGAAAAACGTATTATTAAAACGAACATGACGTGTATGATTTGAAGTACTAAAATTAACTAAAAATAAAGATGAAAAGAAATATGAATAAAAAAAAAATAATAACAATAACAAAAGCAGATACTAAAAATAAAATAAAAACCGAAAATATAAAAATAAAAGCTAATTTAATTTAAAGCTATTAATTAATATTAAATATTAATAAATACTAAAAAGAGTATATAAATACTAAAAAGAGTATATCAATATAACACTGCAATCTGGAAATGTCCTAAAGGCACCAAAATTAAATATATATCCATGAATGCCAAATTATTACATACATTATTCATATATGTAATATTGTCAATAAAAGTATTGTTATGCTTGCATAAGGTGTTGCATTACATATTTGACGACAACAAGCACTAAACATCCCAAAATAATAATAGCATATATAAAAGTAATTCATAACACAAACTTTAGAAGTTCAACACTATAAAATCTCAACAACCTCAAAATGTCAGACAATTAACGTTAAGGAACAGTTACTCAAGAAGACAATTTCAGCAGCGGCCACAAACACACATTAACGTAGATAAAAGACAACCTCCAAAATGATACATTATTGCATAAACACACAAGTCAAACTCATTTAGACACGGTACATTAAGTTAACTTATTGGAAATTTACTCGTCCCGCAATGACCTCCACATTTAACGTTACGCTCATGACATTTGAGGGACTACGGCAGTGCACAACATTTACGTTCCGATTTATTTACGTTAAAGAAAGTATATGGGTCGGGATTTATTAACATCAATTTTCAGGAAGAAAATGTCTAACCCTTGATCTGTAAACAGATGAATCAAGCGAAAGAGCCGAACCGCTGCTTACCTTCGTGATCTCCCTGGATCAGCGTTATGAAATTTAGACAGAGCGGAAGGAATACAGCGACCGAACCGGATGTAATAACGGCTTCGACCTGTTTTGTGTGGGGGCGCTGTTACGTATATATATTACATATCTGTGTTACACAACACAATGTTTTAGAGACATTAAGATCAAAATAGATATCATTATACGAAGTATCGAGGTATAATAATTCAGATAATCGTGAGAGAAAAATACGTCTAATCTAATTTCATTCTAAAAAAATAGTATGTTCTCATTTTGTTGCATAAAAATGCTTGGTTCCACCTTTTGGGTCAATTTACTATCTTAACATAGTTAATGAATTTAGGTATTTAATAAAAAATAAAAATACATAAAAAGATTTCTTTCTTCAGCTTAACACAAGGGACGATGTTTTGAAAGTCGTTAACTAAAACACTATGGAAGTCAATGTTCAAAATCGTCTGTGTTCAGCACACAAAAAAAATTCATACAGGTTTGAAACAACTTGAGGGTGAGTAAATGATGACAGTATTTTCATTTTTAAGTGAATTTTAAAAGCAGCCTTTAAGACATTAAACAAATATTACTGAATCCAAACTTTTGAATGATAGTGTATGAAAGTTTTTGCATGAAAAAAAATAGATAGTAACAAAAAATAGATGACAAAATATCAAACCAGTGTCTTGTATTTTAAAGGTGATGATCTACATATTTCATTCCATCTGTGTAAACTTGAGGGAAACTGTGTGGTGAGCAGGACGGCCGAGGGACGTGAGAGAAAGTCGCGAGGCCGGTGGTGCGATTGCTAATGAGCAGCACCTGCGAGGCACACACCGGTCTCGCATCTCTCACGAAGGAGCGGAGCCATAAAGGGGGAGCGACGGAGTCGGAGTGGATGATCGAGAGAGGAACAGGCCTGCTTTTATTTGTATTTTATATTTTATTTGGTAAGCCAGCAGTCGTCCGTGAGGGGCTGCTGGCCGGTATTTATGTTTTATTTTGGGTAGCCAGCAGTCGTCCGCGAGGGGCTGCTGGCAGGTAATTTGTTTGTTTATTTTATTTAAATAAAGTTTTATTTTATTATTATTATCCGGGTCCTGCCTCCTTCTTCCCTGAACCTTGTTACACTATGACACATGGTTTGACATTATCTATACAATGAAAATAAATTTTACAATTTAAAAAATCAAAACTGTGCCAAATACTGTTTGTAATCACATTAGTAGACCACCTTTGCTGTGTCATTTCACCCCCAGTTATAAATTGCACAAACATGAAGTGTAGTTTTATTTAGTATATGAAAGCAATTAAATGAGGGAATCTGTAAATATTAAACCAGGCAGATAACATGACTACTAAACTGTTTGCAGACTGTAGTTTACAGCTTATATTATGATGTCCTTTCAAGTGAATTTTAGTAAAAAAGTGCTGTAAACATCTTTATAGTAACAATCTTCACTGCATCTCACTAGTGTATTGTTGCAATCAAAATAAATTCCCACAATTGTTCCCAGAAACAATCTCTATATCGTCATGGAAACATCAAATTAACTTTTATACTCAGAAGAATTACAATTGTTTTTCAATAATACTCATAATTCATCACTATAATATCACACATTACGTGCGACAAAATATATTTATTTTTACAACCACAGAGAATAGTAGAAATGTTACAAACAAAATTTTATTTAAAATTAATATTTGCTCCTGAGTAAATAGTTTCCTCAAAAGCACATCTCAAGGACTCAGCACGCCAAACGGAAATGAGTTTAATCAGCGATTATGTGACTAATATTGTTTAATACTTTAATATGACGCTAAGAAGACAGTGGACAGGATGTCCCAGCTTACAGCCAAGTCTTTCAGATGACATATTTTGTTACAGTGCATGATTCTTAAGTGCTCAATGTTGATCCGGAAAGCAGATAGAATTCAGTGTTATTATTGTATTGTTGAACATCTAATCGAAAATATTATTTTCAACTTTTTTTGATTGGTTGAACTTGATGCATTGTGATTTTTCCAAGACAGACATGTTCCTGGAGTGTAAACAATAAGTAAATAAACAGTTGTAATGTTAGATTATGTTTTATGCTATGCTCATTTCATTGTATTGTTAATTAAACTGTATTATAATATATTGTTGCATATTGATTTGTCATCACATTGATCAAGGTCCCTGCTAAACTAATGGGTTCTGACTGAAAATGAATTACATAGATCCAGTATATCAATAGTCAGCTAAACATGATCAGAACTACAGGACTGATATTGATCATTCTTATATTGCATTGTCAAAGAAAGAAAAGGATATAACTATTTTAAGTAGATAAATCACACCATACTGCAACTGTACATTGTCATTAATGTCAATTATGTGGACACTGTAACACTTTCCTTTATGTTTTGTTCTACATTCATCCATCTTCAGTGAGATTTCGGACAGAATTCATCAAGAGAGAGTTCACGCAAAGAATCCGTCACTCCCCATCATTCTCCATGCTCTTTTGTGAATGCACAATGCGGTTTCCTTCACGGTCCAGCCGGTCCACCGCCACGCTCTCAAACGCCCTCCTCATTAATGGATTCTCCTCTAAAACCTCATTAAAGCTGTCCACACTGAGCGAGTAAAGTCTGCAGTATGTTTCGGCTCTGACACTGGCTGTACGACGGCCACGGGTCAGTAGACATATCTCTAAAAAAGAAGAGGAACAGAACAAATTTAGATTTAGCTCAAATGTGATTTATTTCAAAGCCTAATGCATATTACACAATTATCTGACTAAAGAACATATATATCTGTCTGAATACTCGATTCTGATTGGCTGGAAGGTGTGCAATAAAACCAAAACTCAGTTCCAAGTCAGTTGAATCACCATTCTATTAATGCGCTGTTTTCACTGAAGAGCACACATGCACGCATATACATCACTCACACACAGACAGCGAAGATCACGCTGAACACGCATACAGAAACATTCAGGAGTACGGAAACTTATCAACGCTGCCCGGGGATCTTTAGTAATAAAATAAAAAATTATAAAATTGTCGTAATTCAAGTCATAGCTTTGTTGTTAATGGAGAGAGAGAGGTGCTGAACAGAGGCATGCATATGTATGGTTATGGTACTGTAGGCATCTATCTCGCTCACTTGCTTTCTCTCTCTCTCATTTATTAATTCATATAATGCTATAATTCATTAATTCAAATACATATAATCACTACTTTATCTCTTTTGTATGATTCAAAGTGGGCAGAGTGCTAAATCTAATGCGCCTTAACTGACGCAAATAACCATCAGTTTTACCCTCGGCTTCTGGTAAACATCAATAACAGCTTTAAGTTGTCAGTGTTGGCAAATGACCATGGTATAAGCGGGATAATCCACGGCTAGCTGTGCATTAAACGATTTGAATGCACTTCATGGAGGCAATAGCTTAATACACAGCTAGCCGTGGTTTATCCCTTACACATAGATATTTATATACACGCAATATAAATATATATATATATATATATATCCTACTTTACCTGCTTACATAGAGTTTATTCCAGTAAAGCAATTTATACCATATAGAAAATCTCAGCTGTGGGATCATTTATATCGTCGCAAAATGTAAAATGTATAATTGTACAGCTATATATTATATAAAACTCAACAAGCATACATGCAATACATACTAATATATACTATATAGCAAATCTGAACTGCCTGATTGTTTTTACTTTTGTCTCAAAATGTAACTATATTATCGTACAGCACCACATATAAAGTTATAATATACTGTATATAGAATTTATAAGTATGTCCAGTGTCCAGCTTTATCTGTGTATACTCGCGTAAAAGCGAAATATATTATATATCAAATTTCAACTGCTTGAATTCTTGCATTGTTACAAAGCGTAAACTATATTATTGCCCATCTCTAATCTATGGAAGCCAGAATTGTGAGTAATAAACTCAAAAATGTAAGTTATTAAGTCTGAATTACTAATAATAAATTACCTTATTTATTTATATTTTCATGGTGGAAAACATGCTTCCATGCTAATCTTGTTTAATGTGACTATAAGGCATGAAGATATTGAGATATTGTAAACATTAACATCATGATTCTCTGTAAAGCTGCTTTGAAACACTGTAAAAAGCGCTTAACTTTGTGAAAAGCGCTAAACACATGTTAATACAAGGAAAAATGAAACTCACCACCAAAGTAGCAGCCATCATTCAGTCTCTTCTCTTTATTGTCTTGAGTAATTACACTGACACAGCCATGCTGGATGAAGTACATTTTACGACCGAGCGTTCCTTCACGGATGACCATATCGCCCGGCTGAAAGACCTCGAAGCGTAACTTTGTGAGGAGCACAGTGACAAAATGAGGATCTGCATTTGAGAACAGTGGCATGTTAGCTACCAGCCCACGGCAGTTAAAGTTCACTATCTCCTGCAGGGAAAACACACAATACAAGATGGATTAGCCATATAATCCATACCAATTAACACACATCAGCACATAAGTATTACATGGATCTGTCCTATTTAATTGACACATGCTAAGAGATAATAAAAGGGATAATGTTTGAGAAACAAAATGGGAGATAATGTGACAGTTGACAGTGAATTCAGCTCGCAACACCATGATTTACTATTAAACTTTTGGTAAGATTATTTGGGGGGAAAAAAGAATATATATATATATATATATTCTTTTTTTCCCCCAAATAATACATAATTTTGAAAACTGACTTGAATAATAATTTTCTAATGCCATTGTGTGTAGTTTTTGTGTCTAGTTGCAGTTGGTTCTACATTTTTTTTAAATCTTAGTCTTAGTGACAAATAATGATTTGCGTATGAAAATGTTTGCAAGCAAACAGAGGTTTTATCCATAAATAAGCACGTAAACACTGTTAATGAATGAGACGCAATGTCTAAATAGTTATATTGGCTATCAGTTAACATTAGCCCACACAGCCTTGGAGAAGCATGGTTGCAAAAGCAAGGAAAGAAAAAGCATAAGAAAAACCTCTTTTAGTGGATCACTGAGTTCTCCAAGGATATTTTCCTCGTCAAACATCTTGCCCTGGAAGCGGTGCTCGTAATAATCATGGATCCTCTGCCTCATGTCCGCTGGCAGCTTGTGGAAGGACATGTACTGTTCCACCTGCTTATACTGTAACAAACCAGACAACCAAATTGTTCAAAAAAGTTAGTTTTAAAAAGGTTTTTAAATAATTACTGAGCAACTAGTACCTTCTCTTGATACTGACGATGGGAAGCGTCCAAGGACTGGACCAGGTTGGTGGCATTGCCCAAGAACATGGCGTAGCAGGTAGCACCAATAATCATGCTGATCATCGTGAGCCAGACATCAGTTGGTCCATCAGGAGCCTGAGCACCATACCCAATACACAGCATGTGGCTCATGGACATAAAAAGCGCATAGGAGTATTGGACGTCCCAAGTGGAATTCTGACAGAGAAATATGTATTGATAGTACGTAAATTTGAAGCAAAATTTAGGATGTCTTCATACAGTTTTGGTTCGATTACAACAAACTCTGTTAGTGCGGTTCATTTGACGAAGTGTGTGAATGCTGGGTCAAAACTCTTTTGACTGAAATATAAACGCATCACGGACCAGAGACATCTAAAATAACCTAAAAACAGGATTTGATGCCACAAGGTACGACCCTAAAAGGGCAGAGTGCTCAAGCATAGCTGGCTCTTCTCGTCATAGGAGCTACGTTGCTTTTTCAGTTCGGTACTTGCGGCAGATATTCATTTGTGTGTGAGCAATGGAGGAATTGTTGGCACCGCTCTGAATACAGTGGCCAAAAGTGATGTTCAGAAAAGATCTTTGTTTTTAATGACCCTACATGTTGAATTACACCATAAAAATATGAGGAAAAAAAAAAATATATATATATATACAACCCGAATTCCGGAAAAGTTGGGACGTTTTTTAAATTTGAATAAAATGAAAACTATACAACTTTCAAATCACATGAGCCAATATTTTATTCACAATAGAACATAGATAACATAACAAATGTTTAAACGGAGAAATTGCACACTTTTATCCACTAAATGAGCTCATTTCAAATTTGATGCCTGCTACAGGTCTCAAAATAGTTGGGACGGGGGCACGTTTACCATGGTGTAACATCTCCTCTTCTTTTCAAAACAGTATGAAGACGTCTGGGCATCGAGTTTATGAGTGTCTGGAGTTTTGGTGTTGGAATTTGGTCCCATTCTTGCCTTATATAGGTTTCCAGCTGCTGAAGTGTTCGTGGTCGCCTTTGACGCATTTTTCGTTTAATGATGCGCCAAATGTTCTCTATAGGTGAAAGATCTGGACTGCAGGCAAGGCCAATTCAGAACCCGGACTCTTCTACGACGAAGCCATGCTGTTGTAATATCTGCAGTATGTGGTTTTGCATTGTCCTGCTGAAATACACAAGGCCTTCCCTGAAATAGACGTTGTCTGGAGGGGAGCATATGTTGCTCTAAAACCTTTATATATCTTTCAGCATTCATAGTGCCTTCCAAAACATGCAAGCTGCCCATACCGTATGCACTTATGCACCCCCATACCATCAGAGATGCTGGCTTTTGAACTGAACGCTGATAACACGATGGAAGGTCTCCCTCTTCTTTTGTCCGGAGGACACGGCGTCCGTGATTTCCAACAAGAATGTCAAATTTGGACTCGTTTGACCATAGAATACTTTTCCACTTTGAAATAGTCCATTTTAAATGAGCCTTGGCCCACAGGACACGACGGCGCTATGGCTTCCTTTTTGCATGATAGAGCTTTAGTTGGCATCTGGAGATGGCACGGCGGATTGTGTTTACCGACAGTGGTTTCTGGAAGTATTCCTGGGCCCATTTAGTAATGTCATTCACACAATCATGCCGATGAGTGATGCAGTGTCGTCTGAGGGCCCGAAGACCACGGGCATCCAATAAAGGTCTTCGCCTTTGTCCCTTACGCACAGAGATTTCTCCAGTTTCTCTGAATCTTTTGATGATGTTGTGCACTGTAGATGATGAGATTTGCAAAGCCTTTGCAATTTGACGTTGAGGAACATTGTTTTTAAAGTGTTCCACAATCTTTTTACGCACTCTTTCACAGATTGGAGAGCCTCTGCCCATCTTTACTTCTGAGAGACTCTACCTCTCTAAGACATCCCTTTTATAGCTAATCATGTTACAGACCTGATATCAATTAACTTAATTAGTTGCTATAGATGTTCTCCCACCTCAATCCTTTCTAAATGTATTGCTTTTTCAACCATTTGTTGCCCCCGTCCCAACTATTTTGAGACCTGTAGCAGGCATCAAATTTGAAATGAGCTCATTTAGTGGATTAAAGTGTAAAATTTCTCCGTTTAAACATTTGTTATATTATCTATGTTCTATTGTGAATAAAATATTTCCAAATTTGATTTGAAAGTCATATAGTTTTAATTTTATTCAAATTTAAAAAATGTCCCAACTTTTCCGGAATTCGGGTTGTATATATATATATATATATATATTAATGGGGGTAGAACAAAACTATAGAACTAGGAAACTAATTATTAATAGTTAACTAGTTATAAAGTCAGAATTGCATGATATAAAAACTCGCAATTGTGATTTATAAAGTCAGAATTGTGAGATATAAACTAAAAAATTCTGACAATATTATTTGGCAAAAAAAGGTAAAAACTACAGTCTCAGGTTTTATTTAATCATATATATATATATATATATATATATATGTATATATATATGAAAATGTATTAACTACATCATAATCGATTATTAATATTTCATTGATTTTATGTTGTTTTTGCTTGTGTTCATAATTTCTTTGACAGCTTGGCCAAAAATTATTTTGGTACAATATGACACGTTTCATTGCATTATTATCACAACAACAAAAAATACTGATTCCTAGAACTACTACATAATATGATTATAAAATCTTTAACAATTTTTTTTTAATTTAAAAAAAATAAATAAAATTATAATAAAAATAATACTTGAATAAAGAGTAATGTCAATGCTGGACATCACTTTTGGCCACTATTGTATGTACGCACATACAGAGAGTTAATTTAGCCCGGCACACAGCAATGTTTTGGATCTTCGGTAAGTTCCGTCACAAAATATACGTGGCATTAAAGGGTTAGTTCACCCAAAAATGAAAATTAAATCATTAATTACTCACCCCCATGCTGTACCAACCCCGTAAGACCTTCGTTCATCTTCGGAACACAAATAAAGATATTTTTGATTGAATCTGAGAGCTGGATCAGTCCTCCATAGACAGCCTGAGGGACTGCCTCTTGACGGCCCAGAAAGTCATTAAAAGAAAAGGTTTAAATATTCCATGTGCCAACAGCGGCTCAACTATAACTTTATCAAGCGACGAGACTACTTTTTGTGCGAAAAAAAAACCTAAATAACGACTTTATTCGACTTTCCATTACTTCCTTATGGGCGCATGCGCGAGAACTGAGACGAGACCGTTCTTCTTCGACTACTTTTTGTTACCGGCTGCTCACCGCTTAGGAGTATTAGCGCCCCCTACCGTATAAGATGACGTACTGCTTGTAAACAGAACGTTTTGCGCCTCCGGCTATATCAGTACGTCATCTTATACGGTAGGGGGCGATAAAACTCCTAAGCGGTGAGCAGCCGGTAACAAAAAGTAGTCGAAGAAGAACGGTCTCGTCTCAGTTCTCGCGCATGCGCCCATAAGGAAGTAATGGAAAGTCGAATAAAGTCGTTATTTACGTTTTTTTTCGCACAAAAAGTAGTCTCGTCGCTTGATAAAGTTATAGTTGAGCCGCTGTTGGCACATGGAATATTTAAACCTTTTCTTTTAATGACTTTCTGGGCCGTCAAGAGGCAGTCCCTCAGGCTGTCTATGGAAGAGTGATCCAGCCCTCAGATTCAATCAAAAATATCTTCATTTGTGTTCCGAAGATGAACGAAGGTCTTACGGGGTTGGTACAGCATGGGGGTGAGTAATTAATGACTTAATTTTCATTTTTGGGTGAACTAACCCTTTAAAGCTGTTTTTGTTTTGTGTCTTTAGGTTCGGTGTTAAAAATGACATTATGAATGCTTAGCGAACCAGAACTAAATGCAGAATTTTCTTTTTTGGTTCGGACCAAAAGAACTGAAGTGAACACACCCTTAACGCTTTAGGACTTTAGGGAGTATATTTTTGCATTTCCTAACAAACTAGCACATTTTTGAGACATTCCCCAGCAACCTCAAACATACCGAAGCCTAAAACCTAAAAAAAACCTCATACCACCATGTTGTTTTTGGAGACCCAGCAGTTTGCTGGGAAGTCTTGCAACATGGGCACCAAGAACTGCATGCAGCCATCCCAGTGACACAGCAGCAGCATCATTCCAATCAGATTCACTATGCGAACCACTGCGCTTGCTAGGTCATAGGTCATATGGAAGATCTGTATTAAAAAAAAAAAAGTGAGGGATAGTACAAGTGAGTTCAAGTTGGTCATACAAATTAGCCTAAAAAAGCTGTTTGGTTTAAAAAAAGTGCTTCAAACTTCGCTTGACTATTAAAAATAAATAATAATGCACTAAAGACAAAAATCAATCATTTTAAATGCGACAAGTAAAAACTCTCTGGAAACTTAAGCAAAATTATTACAACATTATGATATACAGTTAAAAAAATTATATTTATCTTGAGATAATACATTTAACAGTTATTAAATTATTGTTTCTAAAGGCTATCTACTATGAATTAACTTTAGCAAAGGTAATGTAAAAATGCTTAAAAAGAGACTGAGACTGATTATGGAAGTTTGGAAATGGTTGGAGGAACAAATAGCTGGAGGAACCAAAATGAAAAGCCATTTCTGAGATGCAGCGAGTTATAACATAAAAGATGATCGGGCCAAAACTTGTAAGAAAAAAATAAGATAACGGTCATTCTAAAAAAATCAGAATTGTCAAATACTTTAAAAATCAGAATTGTCAAATTTCCTCCCACTAGATTTCTTTCCTTTCTATCCTTGCCTCATCTGTTTCTCTCCCAGCTCCTTCACTCACCTCTTCCCACTGATGAATGTAACGTATTAATCTGGACAAGCGCAACAATCTGAGCAGGCTGAGGATCTTGGTGAAGCGGACGATACGCAGTGCCCTGGCGGTGCGGTACACCTCTGCCGACTCAAGCCGGGACTCAATATCCACCACCAGGAAGATGTAGTCCACCGGAATAGAGGAAATGAAATCTATCGTAAACCAGCCTCGCAGGTAACGCCGACTGATCACTTGCGGGTCCAGGATGATTTGGGAGTTTTCTTCTTCCATTATGCCGGTACGAAAGTTGAAGACGAGGTCAGCCAGGAAGAGGGTGTCAGAGGCCACGTTGAAGGTGATCCACGGCAGCGTGTTCTGATCCTCAAAGAAGGTGATACCCCATGGAAGAATGATGAGGTTGCCCATCATCAGGCAAAGCATAACCAAGTCCCAATAGAACCTGTGTGAAGATGCATGACGTAAGGAACAAAGGATGGATTCTGCCTGGAGTATGTATATTAAAATGCATAACTACAACTGTAGGGTTACACATTTAATCAAATGTTTAATTTAGGTTCCAATACAATAGTATTTTAACTGAGAAAGTTTGGCACACTGTTTTCCATTTTGAGGCAATCAAGGTGTCGTAACCTCTTGTCACTTCTCAAAGGTCAGCTGGGCCTTTTATTCGTCTTATCAGGCTGATAGAATTAGCATCTCAAGGCTCTGAGTTACACTGTTACCTGATGAAATCAGGTAACCAGCTGAATCAACATGCTTTGTTTCAGAGTGTCTCCACCTCTATGTAACCCCTCCGCCTTGAAAGGTAGGCCTATATGAACACAAGGTATTTTGGCTTAGGTCAGACTTGGCTAAGATTTTTGGACGAAGCAGACTTGGGAATACTACAGCAATGAAACCCCGCTTAAAAAGATACACCCGAGTCTCCTGGTCTTTGCATCTGAGCTTTCAAACACTTTAGGCTACGTCCACATTCATCCGGATACATTTGAAAACGGGATTTTTGCTCAAAAACGCTCTCCGTCCACACTAGCGTTTTCAGCCGTTTTACAACAATTCGGTGTGGATGAGAAACTTCTAAATTCACTTTACTGCGCATGCGTGAAACTTCACAAAAGCTCACTGAGATAATAATGTTATCGCACAAAAACAGGATCATTTTATTTAGCAAATTATCTCACCATCACTGATGCGTCCAGGTCGCATTCAGTCACCCTATGTTTGGTCTAAAACGCAACTGCTCTCCTGTTTTGCCGCAGGACAGCAAATGTATACATTATCTGTCATCTTTGTAGTGCTATGAAGAATAGCACATATTAAGTAACATAGAAAGTAACATATTTTAGCAATAGTGTAAAAATGAATAACACATAACAATACCGATAAACATGAATATCTATTGGTACTACATGGATCACATGACCAAACTTACGTCATCGTTTTGAAATACCTCCGGTTTCACTGTCCACACTACAACACGAAAACGGTGTTTTCAAATTTAGCCACTTTGGAGAGCGTTTTCGAAACGATACGGTTTTGTTGACTCAGTGTGGACGGAAGGCCAAAACAAAGAGAAAAATATACGTTTTCAAATGAAAACATATTAGTGTGGACATGGCCTTAGAAGAAAAATAAGTTTACAACACAACCAAATGTAATTCCAATTAAAGGATGCACTAAGAAAACAAAGATAAGTTGACAATTTTTTCAATAACTGATACATAGCCAATATTAAAAATCTGCAATATTTTATATAAATAAATAAAAAAATGAAACACTAAAAACTAAAATCAGTGTGACTAGATGATTAGAGATTTTAGAGATTAACTTTTCTATTAAATATTTAATATCAGTCAGACTATATATATATATATATAGATAGCTGTAGTCTGAATGATATTAAATATTTTATTTATTTATTTATTTATTAAAGACCTATATGGTTTAAAGGTCTAGACTGGAAACCTGAAGCTTACAAGAGCGGTCCTTCAGGGTGCTATACAGTGACTGTCTCTGTAACTTAAGACACCGTCCTATAGCGACGTCCCATGTTTCGTGGAAAAAAATTCAACCAGCCCCAGACATTTGGAGATAAATAAAAGATTATTTTCTAAGAAACAAATATGTCATTCTGTAAAGCACACCTGGTAATCTATTATGGACAAAAAAGTACAAAATGAGCCATTCATTCAAATACGTATCTACACACTTGACTCAATTTGGCATAACTCACTGATTTATGCCAAAAAGATTATATATAAGGAGAAATGAAAGGTTTAACAGGTTATTCAATTATTCTAGTGATAAAGTACGTTTACTTTTTTAATGTTTACTCACAACGTTTCATAATAATTCAAAATGAATTGAAACTAAATCCATTCAATGATCCCATGATGGGAACCCCTAAATAGTTCTATAAATGGCAAACAGAACCGTTCTGTTTTTTTAGAACCTTTTCTTCTAAGAATGTATACGATCTTGAGCTAACAAGCAGATTACGTCAATTACACGTGTTGCAAAGCATTCCTCTAAAGAGGTAATGGAGAATCATGAACATACTGTACAGTATGTGACTGTCGTTTGCGCACGGGACATGTGCTCGGTGGTTTGAAGTTTCCACATGTGGTCATATTTTCCAAAGCAGCGTCAGTGGAATGAGTGGGTACTTGAAAACAGTTTAAATATATATAAGTTAAAATATATATTTTTTTTATCTTATGGTTGCCATTTGACTCGTGTGAGAATGAAAGCGATAGTTAACAAATTTGAGGTTATTTTATCAATATCAGATGACATTGTTATTTTATCAACTCCAATGATTTGGAGGTTTGCGCTTAAAAACATAGCACTTAACATAGCAAGGAACGGCAGATTTGATTAAAAAAAAAAGCATCTAGTATGTGACATTTCTATAACACTATACAATAAGATTTCATTAACACAACATTTAATAATTAACAACAACACATTTGTTACAGTATTTATTCATTTTTGTTAATGTTAGTTTAAACAATAGAGCTGTTCATTGTTCAACTTAGTTCACAGTTAACAAATACAACTTCTAATTTTAATAATGTATTAGTAAATGTTGAATTTAACATTAATTTAGATTAATGCTGTAGAATTATTGTTCATTCTTAATCTTAATTAATTTGAACTAAAGTAGTTACATAATGTAACCTGATTGTAAAGTGTTACCAATATGTCTTGTGTAAAATGAGAAAGGGAAAATAAAAACATGACAAATCTGCTAAATCTGAAATAACACTGAAAAAAATGCATTGAATGAGTATCATTTAGTCATCCTATTTACAATTAAATTGTATTATATCACTCAAAATATCAGTACTGCGATCAACCTGAAAGAAAAAGAAAATGTTGTTCTTGTAGTTGATTCAAGTGTGATACTTATCATGACCTTTTAACCTTTATCATATTTTAAAATGTTCCCGTGTTTAATTGTCCCAGTTTCAAAATTAATGTTGAATGTTATCAGTATGTATGGAGTTGAAGTAATTAACAACAATGTTAACAGTAACTGGGCCAGGATGCATTAAAAATGCATTTGATCTGTTGATAAAACTGGAGTAATTCAAGAGGCTCAAGGGTTTGTTTTACTGTAGCTATAAGGAATATTTTGGCACATTAAACAAATTTAAAAAAAAAAAAAAAACAGTAATGTAACTGGTGATTCTAGTGTATCATTAAATTGTATAAATGTAAAATGTTGGTTTTATCTCCTAATTGCACACCCATATGTTTCGCTTTGGACTGGGTATGAAACAGGTGTGGTGATCGAGTTCCTATTACCGATAATGTCTTGCTTTCAGAAAACATAATCCGTTTATCCTTTTGACATCTTGCTGCTTTCTCTGCATACGCGTTTCAGACAAAGAGCATTAACCTGACACTCTGTAACCGAGTGGGACCTTCCATCCAACCCGTCCTTTAACGATGATAGCATTTCTGGCTAATGGTAACTCTATAAGGGAAAGCTCTGTAACTGACCTGTGTAGCATTGTCCTTTAATGTGATGATTGAAATGTATGTTCTTTTAGGACCTGATTTGTGGCATAAGTGCTTGTTGACACTGTATGATTATTGATAGCAATGAAAGTTAAGTTAATTTGTTAGGTGTTTTCTCACCTCACAGCCATTCCCTATTGTTATAGGCCAATGAGCCCAAAAAAATATGACCACCTGCCTAATGCACTGTTGGTCCTCCTCGTGCTGCCAAACCAGCGTCGACCCATTGAGGCATAGACTCTACAAGAGGATCTGCAGCAGCAGATCCTTCAAGTCCTGTAAGTTGCCAGGTGGAACGAACTTGTTGGTCCAGCACATCCCACAGCTGCTCAGTTTGATAAGCCTATGTCACACTTCCTGCTTCCGGAAAAAACGGAGTAGGGATACAGAACTTCCCGGTCAACTATTAGGATTTAGATTATCAGCCCTAATGTCTAAACCATCCGAGGTAGACTGACCCACATCGTCATGTGACTTCAGGCAGGCTGCGGAGAGATTTGGTCCAGCGGTATCTATCGGACTCCACCATTGTAAAAAGCTAACCGGAAGAGCCGTATCCCTACTACGACTAACTTCCGGTCTTCAATTTTTTCGTGACATAGGCCTATGGAGATCAGGGGAATTTGGAGGCCAGGACAACACCTTGAACTCTTCATACTATTCCTCAAACCATTCCTGAACAATGTGTGGCAGGGTTCATTCTCCTGCTGAAAGAGGCCACTTCCATCAGGGAACATCATTTTCATGAAGGTGTGTACTCTGTTCTGAGTTGTTGACCAAGTCAAAATAGTCCACCCTCAACTGTACCAGTAACAATAACTAGTCCACCCTTAACTGTACCAGTAACAATAACTAGTCCACCATTAACTGTGCCAGTAACAATAACTAGTCCACCCTCAATTGTACCAGTAACAATAACTGGTCCACCCTTAATTGTACCAGTAACAATAACTAGTCCACCATTAACTGTGCCAGTAACAATAACTAGTCCACCCTCAACTGTACCAGTAACAATAACTAGTCCACCCTTAACTGTACCAGTAACAATAACTAGTCCACCCTTAACTGTACCAGTAACAATAACTAGTCCACCCTCAACTGTACCAGTAACAATAACTAGTCCAACCTCAACTGTACCAGTAACAATAACTAGTCCACCCTTAACTGTACCAGTAACAATAACTAGTCCAACCTCAACTGTACCAGTAACAATAAATAGTCCACCCTTAACTCAATTGTACCAGTAACAATAACTAGTCCAACCTCAACTGTACCAGTAACAATAACTAGTCCACCTTCAACTGTACCAGTAACAATAACTAGTCCACTATTAACTGTGCCAGTAACAATAACTAGTCCACTATTAACTGTGCCAGTAACAATAACTAGTCCACCCTCAACTGTACCAGTAACAATAACTAGTCCAACCTCAACTGTACCAGTAACAATAAATAGTCCACCCTTAACTCAATTGTACCAGTAAAAATAACTAGTCCACCCTTAACTGTACCAGTAACTAGTCCAACCTCAACTGTACCAGTAACAATAAATAGTCCACCCTTAACTCAATTGTACCAGTAAAAATAACTAGTCCACCCTTAACTGTACCAGTAACAATAACTAGTCCAACCTCAACTGTACCAGTAACAATAACTAGTCCACCCTCAACTGTACCAGTAACAATAACTAGTCCAACCTCAACTGTACCAGTAACAATAAATAGTCCACCCTTAACTCAATTGTACCAGTAACAATAACTAGTCCAACCTCAACTGTACCAGTAACAATAACTAGTCCAACCTCAACTGTACCAGTAACAATAAATAGTCCACTCTTAACTCTACCAGTAAAAATAACTAGTCCACCCTTAACTGTACCAGTAACAATAACTAGTCCAACCTCAACTGTACCAGTAACAATAACTAGTCCACCCTTAACTGTACCAGTAACAATAACTAGTCCACCCTCAACTGTACCAGTAACAATAACTAGTCCAACCTCAACTGTACCAGTAACAATAACTAGTCCAACCTCAACTGTACCAGTAACAATAACTAGTCCAACCTCAACTGTACCAGTAACAATAACTAGTCCAACCTCAACTGTACCAGTAACAATAACTAGTCAACCCTCAACTGTGCCAGTAACAATAACTAGTCCACCCTTAACTCAAATGTACCAGTAACAATAACTAGTCCACCCTCAATTGTACCAGTAACAATAACTAGTCCACCCTTAACTCAACTGTACCAGTAAAAATAAGTAGTCCACCCTTAACTGTACCAGTAACAATAACTAGTCCACCCTTAACTCAACTGTACCAGTAACAATAACTATTCCACCCTCAATTGTACCAGTAACAATAACTAGTCCACCCTTAACTCAACTGTACCAGTAAAAATAAGTAGTCCACCCTTAACTGTACCAGTAACAATAAATAGTCCACCCTTAACTCAACTGTACCAGTAAAAATAACTAGTCCACCCTTAACTGTACCAGTAACAACAACTAGTCCAATCTCAACTGTACCAGTAACAATAACAAGTCCACCCTTAACTCAACTGTACCAGTAACAATAACTAGTCCACCCTCAACTGTACCAGTAACAATAACTATTCCACCCTCAATTGTACCAGTAACAATAACTAGTCCACCCTTAACTCAACTGTACCAGTAAAAATAAGTAGTCCACCCTTAACTGTACCAGTAACAATAAATAGTCCACCCTTAACTCAACTGTACCAGTAAAAATAACTAGTCCACCCTTAACTGTACCAGTAACAACAACTAGTCCAATCTCAACTGTACCAGTAACAATAACAAGTCCACCCTTAACTCAACTGTACCAGTAACAATAACTAGTCCACCCTCAACTGTACCAGTAACCAGTAATAACTGGTTTATACCAATATTAACTAAAGATTTTGCACTGAAAAAAGTTCAGTGCAAATCTTCCTTTATTCTTAAGGTCTGTTCACACCAAGAACGATACAATATTAGCATCCACCCCAGCAGGCGATATCGTTCTGGACTGCGCTTCTTAAAAGTATCGTGAAGTGAAGAGACCATTGGTGGCAATGGTTCGATCTACTTAGGCTTACGGATAACGCAGCCTGTTTATTCTGAGCGTGCTGCAGTTTTGTCATTTGTCGTTTTAAATGCTCAAGCTCTTTAAAGCAGAATGGATTCTGATTGGCTGGAAATTATTCCATCAGCAGCTGGGGAAAAAAAGTTCTGAAAGTGATTCCAATTATATAATTTCTCTGTATCATTATATAATTGTGGTGTGGACTCCGCAATTATTTAATATATAGAACAATTTTAAGAACTATATATTTATTGTTATCGTTATAGGCCTAGATATCATCACAATCATATGGTTTATCTAGTTTTCTATGAGAAATGTACATGGTCCATGGAGCAGTATTGTTGAAAACAAAACAAAAAAAAATCCATAAAAATATATTTTATTTTGGCTACTAGCCAATAAAGCATTTATATTTTTCAATTGGTTTAAATTGTACTTAAATTACAACAAAATAAAATAAAAATGAATAAAAACTAAATATAAATATTTTTTTAAAACTAATAAAACAAATAAAAACACAATACAATATTTTTTTACGAAAAATAAAAAGGAAAACAAAGTATATTAAAAAAAATGGTTCAAAATATAAATTAACATTATAATATTATATTAATGATACTAAAATAACACTTGAAGAACAAAACTGACTATATCAGTAGTACTCAGAATGAAAAAACACTCATGAAATGCCTTAAATACCACAAACCTCAACAGTTCTACATGAAACTTGAGTAGTAGCCAAATCAACCGATCATTTTAGGAACAAACTCATACTGACATCACAAGATAACAAGCAACAAAAAATAACAGCAAAATCAACTGTAAGCTGTAAAATAAAACTAGCTTAATTATTCACACCCCAGTGCATGCTGGGGAGAGAACAAACAGGTCAGAACCACAAGGCAATTTTTAAGTGTAAGCATATTTGGACTGGGAAAAAATAAACTATTTTGCAATGACTGTTGTTTTAAAGTCAAACCAACATCTTTACTTGGTCATAGAATTGCTTTTACAGTCACAACAACACTTACCCTGTTTGACGTTCTGCCAAGTCATATTTTCCCTTTCCCCTACGTCACTCACCTGAAGTCACTATATGGATGTATAATCCACACCCCAAATGTTTTGATCCTTGCTTGCTCGGCAGCGACACCCTTTGCACTCCCAAACATCCGCAGCGAGAACTTGTTGACCCCTGGCAGCAGCATGGCTCCGAACTGTCTCTGGAGGAAAGTGGATTGGTCATCAAAGACCCTTTCCTCTGATTCGGATGGCAGAGGGGCTTCCGAAGGCCCTGCTGACTCGGCCATGGCTTTGTTGGGGTGAGGTGGAGTGGAGGGGGTCACAGTGGTAGTTGCTGTTGTGCCATCTAACCCTGCGGTCACCTCAAGGGACTTTGAGGTGGGACTGTCCCCCGAGTCTGTCCGTTCCTGTTGGTGGTTCGCAATAGACAGCAGCCTTTTGCTCACATCCTCTCCTCCTTGCAATAAAGTCCTTGAAGAGGAACGCCAGTTGGTTAAGGAGAAGGCACCTCTGGAGCGGAGCTTCGAGTCACCATTTGAAGCCGGAGACTGTCTGTAATCACCATCCATGTCAGATCTGATGTTAATGCAGGTTCAGGTTGATGACTAATTTGGCAGATAAATTGAGCAGAATCTCAAGAACAGATTGAAGACATCACACTTTCCCAAACACAGAATCATTTTGTACCTGTAAAGCATGCAATGTTTACTTACAAAACCTCAAGTTTTCAATATGAAAAAAGGTCAAAATGTGATTTTAACACTTCTTAATTCTCAACTTTTTTTAAATTAAATAAGTTTTAGTTTTTTCTCAATTAATATACGTTGAGACAAACCAGTCTCCATAACCATTTCAAACATGTATATTCACTGCAAGTTTCTATAAGTTTACCAGTACAATCGGACTCTCGCGTGATCCAAAAACTTCCAGGAGAATCCTGACGTTCCTCACTGCGTAATGCATCCGCCCTTGGAGAGCTCCTCTGGGTATAAGTGCAATTATTGTCAATATTATTCCCCTGTATCAACTTTCCATACATATAACATCTCGCGCACTGGCGAAACCTCCTCAGAATGAGCGCGCGGGTTGTCTTGTCATCAAACCACGCGCAAGTTATTACATAAAGAACGGGATGAAACCAGCAGATGTTTGAGTATATAATCGGCTTCTTGATAGCAGCCGCTGTCTTTATCTCCCTCTCTGCTGACACCTGCGTGTTATCTGTTCAACAAGCTGTCTGGGTGAACAGGTAGGGGACAGAGCGTCACTACTCAGCGGCCCAGCTGGGAAGGAAATAGGCGGGGCCAACTTACAGCTAGAGGACATGAATACGCTGGAGGCTCACAGATGTATTTACCTGAGGCTGATGGGAACTTCAGAAATATCTTCTACGTGTGTGTATAAATGTACTACTGTATATTTAAGGGATACACTAATTTAAAGGGTTAAAAAAAAACGACATTTTTGCCATTAATTATCTATATCCTCATGTCGTTTCTGATGAAATCCAAGAGCTTTGTGATTCTCCATGTGACTAGTGGTTCAACCTTAATGTTATGAAGCGACAAGAATACTTTTTGTGTGCAAAAAAAAAAACTTTATTCAACAATTTCTTCTCTTCTATGTCAGTCTCCGACATTGTTCACGTGAGTATCTTGACGCATGACAGTGGTGAAGAGATGAGTTCCCTGTAGAGATTACTTCCACGGTTGCCGTCTTTCTGTAAAGTTGTGTGTACTGTGAAAAGCGCTATACAAATAACTATATTGTTTGATGGCAAGAAACTGCTAAACGTGTAAGGTGGGACTTAAATCTGTAAGGTGGGACTCATCTCTTTACCACACCGGCCAGTGTTCTGACAGAACAGAAGAGCTGCACTGTACAAATTCAGGTACTGACATGGAAGATAATAAATTGTTGAATAAGGTCATTATTTTTGCACACACAAAGTATTCTCATTACATAATGACACTTGGTTATTAACGTAACCTCGGTTCTCTCTAAAAGAGTGAAAGAGTGTTGGGTAAGCTAGCTTAAAATCCCTTTTCTCAAGAGTACTGAAGCCCAAAAATTATAATTTAATTTTTCCTATATGAGGCACACTTGCAAAGTCTCTCCCTCTGTACAGTGCACATGTAGCGCGCTATGTATGTTATGCGCGCAGTATGTCTCGCTCTAGATTCCGGGAGATTTGAACTAATTTGCGGGCATCAGGGAGACACTATCAATATGCGGGAGACTCCCGGAACTTCCGGGAGACTTGGGATGTCTGTAAATGGTAAATGGACTGCATTTATATATCGCTTTCATAGACCCAATGGCCACCAAAGCGCTTTACAATTTGCCTCACACTCACCCATTCATACACTCATTCACACACCAACGGCGGTGTCAGCCATACAAGGTGCCATCCAGCTCGTCTGGAGCAGCTGGGGTTCGGTGTCTTGCTCATGGACACCTCGACACTTGGTCAGATGGAACCAGGGATTGAACCACCAACCTTTCAGATTGTAGACAACCTACATGAAGCACTGAGCCACTGCCGCCCCGTAACACTCATTCCCTCTTCTATCTCCCTCTTCTATTCAAGGTTACGTTAGTAACTGAGTCTCGTTCTCTTACGAGAGTACTGTGTTGCGCAAGCTAGCTTACTCTACGAGAACCCAATGTCGCATGTCTTGCGTGCTGAAGTCATCCACGCAGAGTCCCAAGGGCAAGTGCCCGGTTCATCAGACAACACAATGGTCTAAACTGAAAGTAGTTTAGCCTGCAAGTCAGGAACCTCCAGGTTGTAAAACCTAATAAATGTAGACGGAGAGGCCCAGCCTGCTGCTCCAGCACCACTAATCCAGACCCACAAAGAGGCCACGCTTTTAGTGGAATGGGCTCTAACGCCTAAAGGGCAATTAAGGCCTTTAGACTTATAAGCCAAAGTGATAGTGTCAACTGTCCATCTGGAAATGTTTTGTTTCGAGGTAGCTAGACCTTTAGCGCGGCCACCAAACGAAACTAAAAGCTGTTCTAAAAGCCTAAAGGCAGCTCGTGCTGCATCAGTACTGGAAACCACGTATGATTCCTCCAGAACGGTGCTACTAGGAGCAAGGATGGCTTGCTTTCCCTGATTTGCTTGATCACCTGTGGTAACAGTGCGATCGGGGGAAATGCATAAAGCGGGCGGCTAGGCCAGTCGAGGGGCCCTGTTCTTTGTGAAAAATATTGGGCAGTCCATATTCTCTGCTGACTCAAAGAGATCGATGTCCGCTCTGCCAAACATGTCCTACAGTAACTGGACTATCTGTGGGTGCAGAGACCATTCCTCTGTGAGGACGTTGTCCCTGGACAGTCTGTCCGGGCCCTCAATTCAGTGGCCTGGCACGCTGTGAGCGAGCGCAGATTAGCCTGGGTCCATTCCATGAGGCGTTCTACCAGAGCATTGAATCTGTAGCGCCCGCTGTGACGTCAGCTGTGCTGTCATGAACACGGAGTCTACGTCTCTCCCCAGAAAAGAGGTTTTCTGGCTGGGAGAAAGCGAACTCTCAGACTGATCTCATGAAGTAGCGTGTGTATGACACGCCAATTCGTATTTCCATTTTTGGCATACTATCAAGACGCATAATCGCTTTTCAGCGTGTTTATGAGCGCCGTTGACTTAACGTTATTACTGTATATATAAATATATGCCTTACCCCAACCCCGTCCCTAAACCTAACCGTCACTGGGGTTAATGGCATTTATGACTGTTCCCTTGCCATCCTAGGGAAAAAAAAGATCACTCCCTCCCTAGATGTACTCCCCAGATCACTCCCCAGATGTTTTGCACAGACACGCGGAATCACTCGGACGTTAATGGCGTAGACATACACGCATACACGCAGATACACGCGGATAGCTCAAAATGCGTAGAGATAACACGCCACTTGACTCGAAAGGTCGAGCAGTAAGGCCCTGTGCCTTATCAGTTCTGTTTCTGACTGGGCTAGAATAAGCCAGTTGTCCAAATAGTTCAGTATGCGCATCCCGTGAAGTCTCAGGGGAGCGAGCACCACGTCCATGCACTTGAAAGTACGGGGTGCTAAAGACAGACCGAACGGCAGGACGGTGTACTAATAAGTCTGAAATGCAGGGGTCTGTGAGCAAACTGTAGTGAAAACTGTTGTCCTTTGCACCGTCCACAACAGAGAGCGTCGAAGAGCCATGAGATATGTGGAGTCACAGGATCCATGTGGAAGACGAGAGTACTTTCGTAAGAGAACATTAAGGTTTAACTACTGCAGTCACATAGACTATTTTGACAATGTATTTACTAACTTTCTGGGCCTTGAACGTGGTCTTGCGTAGCTAAGGAGAGGTCATCAAAATATCTTCATTTGTGTTCCGAAGATGAACAAAGACCTTAAAGGGTTTGGAGGGTAAGTTGCCTAAATAATTACATATATTTTATTTTGGGGTTAACTATTCTTTTAAGATGTAGCCTATGTATGCATAGGCTATGTTTATTTGTTAATTCATTATTTAAAACCTTATAATTTTTTTTAAATATATATTTTAAGTTTTCATTAGAAATAAATTACTTTATTTATTTGAAATATGATAAATTTTTTTATTAATTTTCATATTTTTATTTAGGATACAAAAAAAAGTTTTGTCACTATTGTTTTTGTTTGTGGGTTTCAAACCCTCCAAAATTAGAAATTTTATCCTCCAAATGATACTTTTAATATATTAAAAATAAGCATACTGTGTATTCAGACAAGTAGCTACAGTATTTTACCATGAATATTCGCATTTTATAGGGATAAGTTGTCATGTTGTAACTTTCTAAATTATTTAATTGGTCTTTTTAGCCCAAACAATGGTTAGATATTTTTGCATGTCACCTTTCCCATTCTTGAAGTTTCATTGATTTTATTTACCGTTTAAGTTTTGCTGAAGTTTCATTGATTGTTTTAGGCTCCTGTTTAAATTTGGTTGAAAGCCAAATGGCCTTTGTATTTAAAATATTATTTCATATTTCAAATCTGAAACTGCTGGTTCCCATGTGACAACTTGTGTTCCCATGTGATACAGTGTGATAGCATATTGTTGAATTATGCCTCCAGGGTGAAAAACAATGGAAATATATGTGTTTGTTTAGTAACTGACTTAAAGTAAACTTAAAAAAAATCACTAGATAAAGTGTTCCAACTAACCCCAGCAGTGTGCATCCAGGTTCTTGCACAATGTCATGCAGTGGCTTATCATTGCTCACACCAGGTCTTCAGTAAATTCAGTGTGGTATTATGTTTCGACTACTGTCAATCCTGTAAAGTGCTGAGTATCGTGTTCCTGAGCCCAAGCTTAAGTGAAATGCTTTACCTTTGCCGAGCAAGAGGAGGACGATGAAAATAATTAAAGACACCGCCTTTGATGTACACAGTCTTTCAACAAACAGGTGGGGAACATGTGCCAAATGTGCTGGACCCTGTCCTTCAAAGCTCTGTGCGTACTGTGCTGTAGCCACTAATTACATTTCCTTACGTAAATACAAGACCATTTTGTTCCTTCTGTTCACACACGTGAACTGAAAATGTAGCAAAATCCAGGTAAATTTAGAAAATGATCTGCAAAATGATCAAATGTGGATCAAATAAAAAAAAGTAAAGAAAAATAATCATGTCATAAACTGGTTTAGTTGTTTAGTTTTTGAGAAACAAAATGAGTACATTTTACAGTTTGAAATAACTACATGACTTAAATTAAGCATTCAGAAGGACTAGAAACATGGATAAAATATGAGTGCACCACACGTGAGTTGGGGACCACCAGTGAAAATCTTCAGATTTATTTTCAAATTTTAGTAAGAGTTAAGCTTGTTTAAAATATATTAGGTATCTCTATTTATATTTTTTCTTTCTTTAAAAACAAAACAAGATTAACGTTTTCATTAGGCCAATATTTAGATTTTTATGTTATAGCCTATTTTTTTATCATTTAGTGGATTTTCAATGAGGTCGGATGACATATAATAATCATGAAATATCATAATCAGATTATATTCCTGGAATGCAGCATATGCAGGTCATAAATTCACCTCAAATTGATTATTTGAATCGAGATAGGCCTATTTATTATTATTCCCAGCATTATTCAGAAATTTCTTCTTAACCAATAAACTGGATAAGGATAGTAAGATGTAACACCATCAGAGTCATTTGAAATGTTGTTCTTCTCTGTTTTCACATGACTTTACATGGATCTGCAGTCGATGATGTTTGTGCTCCGTTCATGTTGAGGCTGAGCCCTTGGAAGGCACCAAA